CATTTAGACATCTGAACCATTAAGAGGCTGAAACAAACAGTCTGAACCATTAAGTGCTGAAATGACATCTGAACCATTAAGTGCTGAATCATTCAGACATCTGAACCATTAAGTGCTGAATCAATTCACCATTCAGACTCTGTATAATACTTAACCATTCAGAGGCAAATCTCTTAATCATTCAGACATCTGAACCATTAAGAGGCTGAAACAAACAGTCTGAACCATTAAGTGCTGAAATGACATCTGAACCATTAAGTGCTGAATCATTCAGTGTGGAGTCAACGTTTCATCTCAATTTCCCAAAACCGCAAACGGAGTATAATCCGAACTTCCCACTCACAAGCTCAAGTCTTCTTCGCCAATGGATTTCCGGCGCCGAGCTCAGCGGATTCGTCTTATTTATCTCCTCTCGCTCTTCTTCATTATTCCTCCATCGTCACAATCTGGCCAGGTACTCCCATTATCGACAAACCGATTCCTTTTTCGCGTGAAAGCCATTGAATAGCAATACCTACGAGGACTATCGGCAATATTCATTCGAGAATCGGTATTTTGTATATATCTATCTATATATGTATGATTATATGTATATGTATCTCGCAGTTTTGTGATTCTGGAATCAGTGGATCTGGATATGGAGAATCTGTATGCGGCGTTTCATCGTCGAAGATACTGATCAAGGGAGGGACGGTTGTGAATGCTCATCATCAGGAGGTGGCCGATGTGTATCTGGAGGATGGTATCATTGTGGATGTGGAGCCTCAGATCAAGGTATTATAATGTTTACTAAGTTTCTGTTTTTGATGATGAAATGACCGGAGTTTACATCACTGAGGTTTCTGCTTAATGATTGATCACTGTCCAGCTCTCGAGGATAAGCCTCACTGTCTCAGTATTTATTTTACTTGCTTGCTTTAGATTAAAAATTAGAACAAGCTGCTGGGTTTTGGGCGATATGAAAAATGTTTGGGTGCATGTTAGATTGTTAGGTAATGGAGCTTGATGTTATATACGGAGAGTATTTAATTATGTTAAATATTGCTCACTCACAAGTGTGCATACTATAAAATTTTCTATATCTTGCCGCGGAGTTTGCCATCAGTGTTACAATGTAAAATTTATCTCTCCAGCTCTTGGCTTTCTTTGCGAAATCTACATATTTTTTCTTCATCTTGATTAGTGAGTGAGAGTGTTCGATCCTAACAGTGCAGTTATGACATGAAGGACTGTAAGTTGTGTTAGATATAATCAGGTTTGTTCACATATAACCGAATGGGTAATGAGTCAATGTTTGGGTCAGTTAGTATAGAGTCGATTAGTGTGGTGTCGTTTAGTGTGTTATATTTAATTAATTTAAATAAAAAACAGTTGGGTAGTTTTTAAAAGGCAGTTATGGGTAGTTTCTTATGTTAATAGGTGTGTTCGTTTGTAACAGTTGTGTTGGTTAGTAAGAGTTGTGTTGGTTTGTTCTCTATTTATATTAGAGAACACAATGAATCCTGTAATGGTACACATCAATAAAATATTTTACTTTGCTTTGATCTGGTCCTGTTTAACAATTGGTATAGGAGCGAAAATCCAATAAGGACCCAACGATCCTCGACAACAGATCAAGAATCTTCGACAAGATTCTGCCTCGCCTAGGACAAAAATAGCAGGTGGCTAGTTTTTTCATTTGGCAGAAGGATTCCAACCAAACAGCGCGGGAGAAACGAATCAGCGGGGTAGCTTTCGTTTAGTGGCTTGGAAGACGGAAAAGCAGCGGTTTGTTTTCAGGTTGGTGGTCGATTGCAGGTGGCTTACGACCCGGGAAGGAATCGAAGTTAAGAATTTTGTGAAAATTGTCGAAGGAGATATGCAAGGTAAACTATTATTCACTAAAAGTGATGGAAAAGAGAAGGTTAATGTTAGGGGTGAACCGGGGGTCTTATCAAGTTGATAATTTAGTGGCGGATGTGCGGAGGAAAATGGAAGGGAAATAGTGGGCGAAAGTATGGAGGGTGTTTTAGGAGTTCTT